CGGTTGCTTTGCGGAAAGACTCTGGTTCAGTTGTTCCCATCGTTTCTGTAACTGAGCCTCAGCTGAGGTGTTGAAAAATTCCCCTCCTCGCTGGTAGAAAGACATGAGGGAGCAGGAATATGTTGTTTTTTTTTTTTTTAAAAAGTGTATCAGTGGTGGTGTACAGTTGATAAGCTGAATATTTTTTGACCAGACAGAAAAGTCTATCTCATTTCCTTTAGTTATGAATGCCTCTCTTTCTTACACCACACACAAAGTGGGACGGAGCCTGAGGAGCTGACTGAGATAACAGGGTAGGGGTAGTTGTTAGGGGCTGATGGGGAGGTCTGGAATAGTCCTTAAGGATGCGTGAGATGAGCTTTATGGTAAGCAGAGCATCCCTGGGAGTGTACGCAGATCAAGGGGGAGCTGGCTGGGGATGGTAAAAGGGGCAACTGGGATGAGACTGGGCCTAGAAGGAGCAAGAACAGAAAGAATTGAAGTTTTCACAGAGGGAGGGAGCTTGCGGTTGGGATTTGGGTAGAGGGGTGTGAGCTTGAAAGTGATCATTGGTGTCCATGGTTTCTGGGGTGAGAGAGCTGCTGAAGGTGGTCATGTAGTTATGGGGATGTTATGGGTAGAGGGGATGTTTCCATTCTGCTCTTTGGAGGGGAAAAAACAGCACTGGGGTGGGGGGAAATGGGAACCTGACACCGAGCCCTGTTGTTTAGCTGCTGCTGTGGGGGTGATTCCTGCCTCAGTCCGGGTAAGGCTGCCCGTGCTTCTCTGCTGCACTGGGGGTGCAGCAAAGTGAACAGCATCGCCCAGCTCGGCGCCTCACTTGTAGCTGCTCCCTCTCCTGCTAGGAAGCACTGCTTTAGGGAGAAGTGCTTTGGACTAACGAATAACCACAATAATTTGTCTCCTATTAGGTGTAAGCTCTGAGTGGGCTTCTCTTAACTTACTAAGTAGCACTGCTTGTGTTTTGGCTCACGTTTTTCCATCAGAGAGCTGGGTGTCTAAGGGGTGCCATAAACTCATACAAGAGCTCCCTGATAGCTATCTTGGCAGAAAGGATGGTTGAAGAGTGGGAGAGTAAGGCAAGCTTTAAGCCTTTAAGAAATTCCTTGTCAGCGGATGTGGGGAATCTAATCTATTCATACATGTAAGTAGGAAGCATACATTTTTGACAAGCTAATGAAAAAATGCAGGCTAGCTCACCATTATTTGCACTTTGGGGTATGTTAAAACTAGGTTTGAACCACAGAATAATTGATACTGAATGAAGACACAAAGTTAACTTGCTGGTGCTCAAATTTTGACCTACTTTTGGCATTCTCTGTAGCCTGGCTAGAGGTGTCAGGTAATACACTTTGTCTTTAAATCTTTCACTTCTTATTAAGAGATTTCAAAAGTCCAGAAGTGTGGAGTGGTAGTCAGAGATCTGAAATGTGACCTGGAAAATAGATATTGCAACTTACTCTATAATATTGGTTTAGCCCATCTTCTATTTTATGATTAAGGAAAAAGCAGTATGTTTGTTTCTGTTGCACCAGGTACTCAGCAAAACTCTTATGTAGGCTCTTTAAGAAATCAAGTTATGATTAAAAACAAAGTTGTAGTTATTTATAGGTCATCATTCTACTTAATACGTTTCTCAAAAATATTTGTCGCAGACATAAGTGCTTTTACAAGTGCCACTGTAAAACTTGCTCCTTTTTTTATTAGCACTGTTAAGAGAACCAGTTCCGCTGAGCGTGTGTCCCCAGGCGGTCGGAGGGAAAGCTATGGAGATTCCAAAGGGAGTCGCAACCGCACTGGATCCACCAGCAGTTCATCTAGTGGTAAAAAGAACAGTGAAAGGTAATGTTACCTAAATATCTCCTCCTTTCTCTGCCTACTGCCCTAATAATGAAATTAGTTTCTTTAGTGAAATTAGTTTCTCTAGTTTAGCAAATATTGGGAGCTTTTTTTTTAAAAAGCTCCAACAGTTGGACAAAAATATATTTTAAAACATTTCAAATAAAACAGGTTTTCAAATTTAGATGAGATTTATTTGCCTTATTTCCAAACCACAAACAATGTGAGAACCTTGAGTTGCCCGGAGAAGTTTGTAATTATTAAATATACATTTTCCATTATCTTAGTGGTTTCCGTTGGTCTTCAAGTCCCTGACATGTACTTCTTCAGGGTCCTGGTTGTGGTGTGTTGACGCCAGCTGGCAGCTAAGCACCATGCAGCCACTCACTCCCTCTCCCCCGGGAGGACGGGGGAAGAGACTAGGAAGAGCAAAAGTGAGAAAACTTGTAGGTCAAGATGAAGTTTAATAAATGAAGGAAAGAGGAAGGAAAACCAAAACAAGTGATGGAAAGACAATCACTCACCACCTCCCACATGTAGACTGATGCCCAGCCAGTCTTTGAGCAATGGCTGCCTCAGCCCAAGGGTCAGATTAATGAGAAGTGGAGGGAGAGGCTTACCTGCAAGTGTTATCCAAAGAAGCGGAATAAAGTGATGCCTTCTCTGTGTATCTCTGATGATGCTTCTCTGTACTGCTGTACAAGGAAAAGAGAATGTCTTGTCCAAGGGTTTCAGACTCAGGATGGTCTTGAACAAATAGCTGATTCATTGATGCTTGTGGCGAAGTCACTGTATCACTCAACTGGTTCTCTCCCATATTTCCTAGGCAGTGTTTAGTCTTGGCCATTTCACTTCACCTGTCCTATCCCAGTTTCCCACCACCAAAAAGTGGTATTGATGGTACTGTTTCACTATCTCACAGATGATGTAACCATAGAAACAGAATGCTAAAGAAGATCACATAATAACATAATTTACCTGCTCTGTATGGGCATCAGTGCTGTCATAGAAGTCGCTGGGTTGCTCATGAGCTGATGGTATGGCACAAAACATCCCTTCCTTTTTATCCCTTCAGCATCTTCGCTTGATATAAGGAGTGACTGAGGTTGTTGTGTACTAATGGACAGCCTAAATATGGGTGATGAAATTATTAACAGTTTGTTTCCTGGCTTACGTTTTCAGCTATGAAGCAAGACAGCAAATGTGCAACGTTTATGAAACTTGTGAGAGGCTTAGCAAATTATGGGAATAATGAAAAAATCAAGAATACTATCAAAGAAAAGGTTGTAAAATTGTAACCAAGGAAGATAACTTAATTATTTATACAAACTAAAAATTTAGCCAGTGTAAAATCTTGTTGGCGATGTGCATCTGTGCACATGAATGGGGTTTTTATAAGCTGACAGAATTCTGCAGGACTGGGCTTTCTGGCACTTCTGGAAATTTGACTTTATCTCAGCGTATGATTTTTTTTTTTTTCCCCCCTTAAATTTTTTATCAAATGATTGTAAACAACAGGTAGCCTTTGGGGAATGTATTTTGAAGAGATGAGAATGCTGCAATGGTACTTAATAGAAGTGGTTTTGGTTTTGTTTACAAGATTTTTGTACTTCACTTTAAATTTACTAAAAGACTGAAATATAATTGCAAAAAAAATTACTATAGCAATTAACTCTTTAAGTAATCCCTAAATAAATACTATTTTTGAGAGCAAAACCAATCTTTTATTGGATTACTTAGGAGCTACTGCATGTGCAGACTTGGACAGAATTGTTTCGAATTGTTTCTCAGACCCTTCTAGCACAGAGAATGTATACCTTGATACATCTGATAGAATACCACTGAAGCAGAAAACCAAATATCAACACTCTTAGGGACAAGTGAGCCTGAAAGTTTTGAAAGGCAAAACTAAGCAAAAAATTAATGACCGGTGAAGGGACTGCTGAGAAGATAAAAGCTTGCTCTTAGTTTAAACTGGAAGTTCTATGCAGTGTTGCAATAGTTGCACTATTGTAGCAGCTGTAGTCATACAGCTACTTGACTCAGTGAATTCATTAACAAGGAGCTGTTGTTTTCTGTATTGATCTCTTGAAGCTGATAGGTTTAAGGCTGATTTTTTTAGTTGTCCATATGTATAACTTCCTGCTCTATGGCACGTATCAAATTATAGCAATAGCCCTTACGTTGTGAACTCATTAATTCAAAAAGCTCCACCTTATATAAACAGAACAAATTTCTTAGGGAAACTTTTTATTAAAAAATCTAAATTTCTAAAATTAGATGGGAAGACTCTTCTTTCTGGAATGTGAGGAGGAAGTACAACTACCAATGGTGAAATGTCATTACGTTTCCAATTAACTGTAGTTTTTCAAAAAAGTTTTAACAAACGTGATGATCCTGCAGTGTCCTTTCTCTATGTATTTTATCAATTTTTTTAACAAAAAAATTCAAGTCCCCAAAAGGTGAATTCTCTGTATGTTGTGCAGTGGAAGATAAACCTGTCAAAATCTAAGTACAGTGCTTTGCAAAATCTGTTTTTTTTAAGATATCTCTGAGTTCCTGCTACCTGCATAAGGTGATAATTATCTGAAATCAGTTTTGTATTAAAGCTACTAAAGAAATAAGTTGAGATTATTAATTAGGTGGTTGTTCATTTAAATTAAGGAGAGATATGAATTCTAGCAGCTACACAGAGGTACTGTACACTTGAAAAATGGATTCCAAAATAGCTGAGAAATAAAAACATTACGACATAATTAACGGTTATCTGCAAAATTGTTTTTTGCTCTAAAGTTGGTCATGGCACTTGAGATGCGTTTTTAATTTTTTCATACTATTCTAACAGAAACCCAATGGTTTTGTCATTCTGCAGTTGTTAGGCCACAAAGGGTTGAGCAACAGCATTGGTCAGAAATCACTTTGGACTCGGGGAGGAGGTCCAGCGCACAAGTGATGTAATGCGTACATAATGTGCAAGTATCCCAAGGAACTAATCGAGAGTGCGTGTTAGATTGCCTTAGCTGGAGTTAAGTGATGTTGGTGTCAATATGAGAACAATCATTGTGTGGTTAGAGAGTTCTCCCTGATTTCTGTCACATGCAGCCTGAGGGTGTTCAGCACCACAGCTCTCACCGCCTTGAAGAGTGTCCTTACCCTGTGGAAGCGGCTGGCTGAAGACTTGCTCATGCTTCCTGTTGAAGCTGGGCCACCGTGCAAAAAACAAAGCAAGAGTCATGGGACTAGAAGAAAAATGAGCATGGTTCTGTACGCTGGGGGCTAAGGCTGTCCTCCTAAAGCTAACTGTATGTGTGAAAGAGGGTGTTACTTAACTGTCTACTCACAGCCTTACTATTTGTGTCATTGATCCTTATGCGTCCTTTTCAACTTGGGATATTCTGTGATTCTCTGTCTGGTCTGTAGATGAGGCTTAAAGCAGAATGCATGCCAGGAATCTAAAAAGCTAATCGTGAAATTATTGTTTTTCAATGTATATAGAGTTGTAGGCTGTTACGCAAAACCATAATGCTATAGAAAGCTATTTTAAGAAGCTATAAGCATAAGGAGTAAGGAGATGACCATAATCTCCAGTGCTGCTATGGGGTGTCGCAAGTCCCTATGGCTATGAACCAGGGGTAAGCCTTCCTAAGGGTTAGATAAGTAGGAAGTGACTCAAGTTCACGAAAAAGAAAAAGGGTAGTCAGAGCTCTGAGCTGTGTGTGTGGTTAGGGTTTGTATAATTAGAAAGTACACATGATTTGCTTTATTACTGTCATGAATCAGCCTTTCACATTAGCTTGATTAGCTTGAATAAGCCAGCATGATCTTTTCAGAACTAGGGACTTTTTTGTCTCTAATATGGCAGCATTTCTGACTAGTGCTTCATCCCATGAAGTTTTTATTTTCTAAAAATATCTTCATTCATAATAGAAAATGTTAATCTTAAATGCTAATCATGTTAACAATGGCAACACATCATGCTATTTATATAGATGAGATTGGCTATGTACGCCAGCTTGAAGCTTGAATTTAGATGCCTGATTAATACCAAGGCTGATATTATGAAAAGTTGCTAAATCAATGGATAGGATCAGTAGAATTCTTTTTTGTTTTGTTTTGTTTTTATCATTAAGTAAATGTATTATTCTTAACACAACTGTCAAATCAAGGCAAAAGGAAAAATACTGTAAAATTATTTGCTACAACTTCTATTGTAGAGAGAGAGAATCTTTTATGGTTAGAAAAAAATGTGTGCAAAAATCCAACTCAGTTTTGTTTCTTTTTTTGGTTTCTCTTTATCTGCCCATTGCAGTCTAGGCATGGATGTGGGGATGGCATCACAGCTCTAGGGATACTTCATGCTTCAGCATTTCTCCATCTAAATGATAGGATCCATTTGGGATCACCCTAAGAAACATACAACAGTAATCTGATATTTCAAAAGTTTTACTGAATAGAAAGAAAATGGAACTGGGAAGAAAAATAACTGCACAATATAGCTTTGTGTCCCTTTCATACTTCATCAGAAACAACACCCTCAAGCCTAATTATACAGGGGCAAGGACAAAGAAAACAAATGACTGGCATTTCTTGAAAAAGATTGCTTCTTTCCGGCCAGGGTAGTACTATCCAGAGAGCTCCTCTCAGCTTTTCTGCCTCTTCCTTCTCCACATGCTTCATGTGTTTTCGCCTCAAGTTTTGCCAAATATTTTCTCAAGAGAAAAAGACAAACCAATTTCAGGTTGTCTTCCAGGCAGCAGTGCAGTGGGAAGGAGAAGACATTTTAATCATGATGGATATGTGCTTTCTGGGTTCTACCAAGTACTGTCATTCACCAAGAAACAATTGGGCAGTTCCATGTTTTATATAAACTCTTTGGAAAAGCAGGATTCAAACTTTAGTTTGCTCCTTAAATCCAGAGAGAACAAAGCCATGAAGTAAGTGAACACTCACACATGCACTGATACAGTAGTCCCCCCGGTCCACATATGCAGAGAGATTTTGTAGTTAAGGATATATTCCTAGTTTTTTGTTATGGTTGTAAACTGCTTTGGACTAACAAATCTCACTGACTGGAAACCAAAACTGATGCAGCTGCTCATGACCAGTTTCTGTGTCCTCCTGTAACTGGACTAACTCCGCAAGGGAAGAGGATCTGGTACTTGGTAGAGGAAAATCTATAGTTTTGAGAATGTAAGAAGGATTGAATGTAGAAGTTTTAACACCTGCCATCAAGAAGCCACAATGTATGCTGGATTTAATGGTGTCTGCCTGGGGATTTACCTTGTAAATAATTGAATTGAAAAAGTATTTTTATTTATATGTACACACAAAAATATTTATCTTTTATATTATATTTTAAAATTTATATTATATTGATACCTTTATATGTGCAGACTGTATGTGTATGCTTTTTAAAATAGAAATTTCTTCATTATTTTCACAGCAAACCCAAGGAACCAATGTTCAGTGCAGGTAGGAACTTTAAAAATTTTTAAGCAGATAACAACTGTGATAACAGATTTTTTTTTTTTATTTTATTTTTTTTCTTTTGTTTTTCTGTGGATGCCTAGGAACTGGTATTGGGAATCTAAACATGATACTTACAGGCTACTGATGACATGTTTTTAAAAAAGTTGATCAGTTTGCTCTAGTTTTTATTGGCCCAATAGGTTTATTTTACAGTTAGGATTCTTTGTAAGAAGACAAAGAAGAAAAAGGCTGTGTCTTCTTACCTCAAATATGTCTTCCCTTTCAAAGCAGTATTAAGGTTTTGCTAATTAAAGCGTATGCCAAGTTCCAGCTATGATGCTATCATGTTAATTTAGTCATAAAAGGGAGCCCTCAACTATTGTTAAAGGATGCCACATCTGCCCTAATGCTCTGTAATAAAATTTGTCAAATTACAAATAAAAAAAGTGTTTTGTTACTACAGTTTTGGAAGTCTATCTTTAATTTGAAAATCACTTTATTTTTTTCCTACTTATGTATTATCCCTGTGAAAAGATTTTGAAAGTGAAATAGTAAGTATAAGTGAAAGCAGAATTTGTCCTTGTCATTAGACAGTTACAAACTTTTGAACGATCTCAATAAAAATACAAAGCGCAATAGTATACATAACAGTTATTTTTGTTCTGAAAAACCAAGAACAACTAAAATAAAAGCTTTCTTTTAACAAAATAAGGAAGGGGAAAAAAAGTTGATTTATCAGATATATCTTATTCTTTTTGTGTATAGTTCTGTAACAGTAATCATACATTAAGCTGAAAAAGTAGAAAATCTTTTGTTTACTGAGCTTATTGATCATCATCCAACAAAGCTCTTAAGCCATTCTTCAGGGTTTAGTGTAATTGATTTTGAACTCAGTAATATATAAAACTAAGTAAGCGCTTAAGTATTTTGTGGCAATACAATCACAGTTCATGTCCCTTTCATGAAAACTGTTGGTTTGGAAAAAGAAAACTGATTGGCACAGAATACACTTCTCTTGTGTAACATTTTTCCTTCCTTTGCACCATGTAAGCAAAGGTATTTGGGATAATTTTTCTTCTGACACTTTCCCTATAGATAAAGATCAGTAGTTAAACAGATGTGATGCTACTTTTACCCTTCTCACCTGGACAAAATTCCTACTGAAATTAATGATTTTTTTTCTAAGAAAGTTATACTTGGTATTTTACGTACTTTAAGCATAGAGTTGCATAATGGAGCTTAAGCTAGTATTTTAATGATAGAAGAACTAAACAGAGCCCCTAGCTGGAGGAAGAGGGTTTTGACTGCAATTACCCAACGTATGGCATGGAGTATGGCTCAGTGTTTTGTCAAGCGCCAGGTTAGCCTCCAGCAGAATACAACTGGACAGCAGGTAGAGCAGGTATTTAGCGAGTTTATTGTATTCAAACACATCTTTATCTAGCCCTTCTGTCTCTGTCTCTGTAATCACAAGGGAAGCGCCGTGTGACACACTGCAAAGGTAGGCTTCACTTCCAAAACCTCATAGCTCTCGAAGCAAAATGGTACTGGTGGGATAAAAGCTCAATGTATAAACAGTTATTTTCTAGCTTGCACGCATTTTGCAATGTTAAGACTTTCCTAGTTCTTTTGAATGAAACAAAAATATTATACCATCCATTATACAGTCTACTGAATTATAACCCTCAGGTGCACTTCAATAATAATAACGGGTTATAATTTAGATTCCTGTGGAATTTTTCAGAAGAATTTGGATTAGAAAAAATACGTTGAGAGAGCTATATGGCAACACATGGATGTTCACTGTGTTTGAAATGGTGTTCTGCACTTTTGCTGAAATTCATATAGAATTTGCCCCTTTGTTGGCTGTTTCGCTGTTAGCCTAACATGGTTATAGAAGCCTTGTTTTTTCCCCTGCTTTTTCTTACTGAGTAGACTGTAGATTTTTCTGAATGTTGAATAAACAGACCTAGGCCTCCAACTAATTTCTTAGTGCTTTTTGCTCAATGTCATAAAGCAGAGTTACATTTGGTAAACATACCATATTGTTTTCTAAAGCTTTAGCTAAACTGTAGTGTAAATATGCACATTTTTGATGCATGTTTATGTCTGTGATACAATCACAGATTTGTCTTGCTTTTTAGAGATGGCTAAATCCTAACAGGTTTTCCACTAATCAGCATCTTTCAGCTTTGCAACGAATCTAAAATTTCACAAAGCAAAGAATGTTTGTTCTCAAGGCAAAGTCTTTTAGAGAGTCACTACCTCTGTGTATTCTTTGTACAATTTTATGCCTGCAATCAGTAGTGGTCTCCTTTGCAGATCCTAATGGCATTCACGTGCCTTCTTATTTCAGTTCAGTAACTGTTAATTTTTACAGTTATTTTCAACAACAATTTCAAATTTACAAAATTGCAGATGTAAAAGATACATTTGTCTAAAAGTTTCACCATTGGTCTGTCTTTGTAGTTTGATGATTGTCTGTCTTTACATCTATATCTTCACATTTAGAACTCTGCTGTCTTAAAAACTTAGTTATGAAAAATACGAGGAAAGGGATGTAGATTGGTTATGCAGATAATATGTTTGGATTACTAACAAAAATCAGTACAGATGGACTTCATATTACCAAAAGAAAATGGATCCACAGTATGGATTTCTGTGCCTGACCTAGTCATCCTCAGTTCCTCTTTATAGTTGAGAGAGGCATTCTGAAGGCATAATTTATATACTTGGTATAATATACTTGGTATAATTTACTATACTTGCTTTTAGACATCTGCCTTAACACGTGATTAATTTGTCCAAAAGTACCTGTTTCTCCCTATTTACTCTAAAAAGGAGTTTTGAGTGACTAGGTCAAATACTTCCACTGCAGATGGCTAAATACGAGTTTTATGAGTCCCATAAGTTTCAGGTGAGAAAAGCAGTTCAGTGAATTAAACCTGCATTCATTCCCAGCCTTTGATAAGCTCAGTCAGGGGTTGTCACTGCGGAAAATCTATTGACTTCCAGTGCACCAGTATCAGTAGTATTGGCATGTGTTTCAAGCTCATTAAATAGATGCTGCATGCGCATACAAATAGTGCTGTAATGCTCTGCTATTTTATGCTTTACCCTCTATGGTTTATTTTCCAATACAGATCTACTGGAGTGAATTTAAAAAACAATTCCAGTATTCTAGCATTTTAACAGGCATCTTAAGCTCCAACCATCTGTCACCGTTATTTCACCATTATTATTGCTGCTTCTTAGCATTCAGTTTTCTGTTGTTTTCATTATATGTATGAATTCTGTAAATGAAGGGATTTTAGAGAGCCCTAGCTGTAACTTTACTGGGACAGATTAGGTAGATCTCTTTCCCAGATTAATTAGTCTAAAGGCAAAATACACATGTATTTAGGTAATACAGCATAGCTATGACGTTTATTTGTTCAACCGATAATTTTTATTCAGTCAGTATTTGTAGCGTATGCATATTTCCAATTAAAATAAAGCCTTAGTTTTCAAATTTTAAAAAAAATGGTGTAGTTGTAATGATACTTAACAATTCATAGCATAATTTTAACAGTCCTAAATTGTATATTTTTTTTTCATTTACATGATTTTGTTACTTCTGCCCTTCCATTTCCTCTGTGCCCACGATTATTCTGTCTAGTAACTCTACAGATGTCACTGACTCCAAAACTGCTTGATTCGCATGAGAACAAGGCTGAACCCCTTGATCTGCCGATGGAGCAGCAAGAGCCAGCACGTTCTGAATCTGGACAAACTTCACCAGAAGTTCACAGGACACCCACTTTGGCCTTGCCAGTTCCCAAAAGTCCTAGTCAGACCTTCATGGCATTTCCCAGATCTCCTAGTTTTATAAGCCCCATGAAGTCCCCAAGTCAGTACTTCCAGATCTGTTATTAATCCCTGCTTTTCTCCCCCAAAAATATTTCTTACCAGTTCAACACATTACTTTTAGTATTTTCTTCTAGAATGTTTACTTCTGTCAGCCAATTCAGTTTTTGTAGCTTCTCTCCTGTATGTCATTTTCCTTTCTTTTAATGTGCTGTCAATGTTGTCATTCCTTTTTCAATGTTTAGTAATTCTTAAGGCACATATCTCTTCTGCATGTACATCAGCATGATTCCTTTTACTAATTGTTTGTGTTCCTTATTTCGAATGTATCTCTAACACTGTATCAAGTGTAAAGCATATCTTTACACTGAGATGCAAAGAATGCGACTGAGTGTTGGAAAATACTTTAGATGCTGATGCTCCACTGTAAATATTGATTAAAAAATAAAATTAATTTTAAGTGGCATTTCTGCGTTAATTGTAATCTTTGATGTTTTCCCCTTCATTTTTAATATTAAAACACTGTAATATTGTAACATTATTTTTCACAAAAAAAAGTTTTGATTTCAGTCCTTTCAGTTTTGTAGTTCTTCATGACATTGTTTAGTTCTAATTCTGCTGCTCAAAATGTTTAGAGGAAAAAAAGGAACTTTGTATGTTTAAAAAAAATTCTGCTTAGTGATTATGATTTAGGAAAAAAAAAAACCCTGCTTAAGTTCTAAGTTTGAGATTGCATGTCATTCTGTAACTGTAATGCACCAAACTGTTAAGTGGGAAGGGATGGAGGAGCATTGGAGTTCTCCACTGATGGTTTTTTTGTGTAACACTAAATATTTCTGACCTTTTGTAGAGGAAGGATACGTAAAAATGTTTCTTCGTGGACGTCCTGTTACCATGTACATGCCCAAAGAGCAAGTGGAATCTTACAATTTGGAAGCAAAAGTAGAACTACCAGCCAAGAGGCTTAAACTGGAATGGGTGTATCCTTTCTGTGCTAGAGGACTACTGGAAATCAATCATTTCTTAATGACTTGTTTTAAATAATTTTTCGAGCTAAAGTATAGGAAAATGAAGATCTTTATTAATAGGGTTCATTTCATTAGTGAAGCGACATTCCATTCAAGTAGGTGTTAATTTCTTGAGGCTGCTGTTCTGCACCTTGTGAAGTACAGGATGGGAGCTTAAGAAAGATTTTGCTTAAATGTTGCCTGAAGGTTAAATCTGAAGCATGCTAATTAGCTGAAGATTAAACTAGGCATATTGAAAGAATGTAGTGAGCTGTGATTATTAATTATACTATGCATAAAACAAGCTCAGGTTTTTTTGCTGATTCTCAGCAGTAATTTATCGTTTTAAACCATGTTTTATAAAATGTGCACCATTGTCCTTTAGAGGATGCTATAATCAACTTCAGTACTTGAATAAGCCCTGAATTGAATAGTGCTTTGCAACTGGTAGGTGCTTAGCAATAAAATCCATAAGATATCGTATATAAAATAATGTTTGAATTTAGATTTTAAACTGTGTTTAAGCACTGTAAATACCGAACAACCAGGATTTTCCACTGACTTCTATGAGTGAACATAATTACAGAATTCTAACTTGAAAGAAATCAGTGTTTCATTACATACATACCTAAATTTTTGCATTTCACTTTTAAATATAATGAGAAAATATATTCTTTATTGAAAAAAAAATGACATTTCGTTTTTGTAAAATCTTAGTATATGTAATAGACAATTCAAGATAAAATATAAACACAACAAGATCTGACTCTATTTGTAACGTCCACTATCTTTAGAGAATGAAGTCTTCATAAGGTTTTCTATTTTAAGGAAAAGACTTTTTTTTGTCCCAAACAGTGCAAATAGGAAGTTGCTTTGTCTTCATAAAAAAGAAGACAGGCTGCAAATAGTCTTTTTCGAAGTTGTATGAATAGAACTGCATGTGGTTTCAGAATGCACACAGAGAGTTTCCAAAAGTCCCATTGTATTCACAAGAGATTAATGACAGATTTAGTAACCATTCTTATTATTCCTATTGCAGCTGAGCCTGTAGGTTCTACCCCACTCTGCTGGAACTGCATAGATAATGCATACAAAAATAAGATGAGTTAAAAAACAAAAAATCCACAAAATTAATAAAACAGCCGAGATTAGAGTGATAAATACTTCTTGCAGCATTTTACCATCTAATTGTTGTACAGGCTCTCACCATATATCACATCAGAATTGAATGATGTCTTTTTACACTTGTAAGGTGCCCCTTGCTTAAGGGGCCTAACAATGATACAGGAGAAAGTGTTAGGATGCTTGCTGAAACAACAAAAAAACCCAACCACAAAACAAAACAGTCATTAGCAGTATGTAGATGGAAGCTGAAGTTAATATTTCAGACCATTATAAGAAATTGTAATTAGAGTAGGTCATGATTTCAGTCTCATTAGTTTCTCACTTAAGCTTACTTAAATGACTGAATATTTGCCAGATGGAGTATTATTTTTAGTTTGAATATTCATATGTCCTTCCAGGTGTGTGTCTGTATACCCAGCAGAATCCTGTATATATAAAGGTTTCTATGAATAGAAAAGATATGAATTAAAATGATCTAACTAACCCTAAATGGTTACTGAGGAGGATGCATATTTTTCAAAAAATACCGTGCTAACTTTTTCAGATTTTAATTTCTTTGCAGTTAAGCCAATCATGATATCCATACTTAAAAGTTACACCAATGAATAGGTATATAAAAGACTTAATCAAAAAAAAAAACAAAAACCAAAGAGATTACAGGTTATAATGGCGGGAACAAAAGCTGGGGACAGGAGCGTAAAATAATTAAAGGAGAAGGACAAAGACAGCAGAAAACCAACCAATATTGCAGGCATTCATTCCAGTTAAGTTGGAGAAGCTGAGCTGTTTGCTTGGAGGGTAACACAACTGGAGTAGGAGAAAACCTCTTTGTAGCGGACAAATCAGCCTGGCTGTGGGATTACAGCCAGAAATGCTTTATAATGTAAGAGTGGGGGTAGAGAAAGAGGATATTGGAGGTGAGACGGACAAATGGAAAGGGCAAAGCAGAATATGATGAGGAACAGAAGGAAGAAAATCTAATGTATGTAGAATTTGGGGCATACCTGAACCCTAAAGGAAATTTACAATCATGTTAGCAGGGTATCTGGGTAAGCCGAAAAAGGTTCAGACCACATCAGATATATTCAGACACAAAGAAACAGAAATGCCGGGTGATGAAGTGTGAGGGAGGGCTGGAGCAAAGGTGGTAAAATCCGAGCGAGAAATCGGCGCTGGGGACATCAGGGCAGGAGCGGTGGTCTGCACGGATCCGTGTGAGACCAGCTCACTTGGCAAGCAGGAGGTTTGAAACAAAAGCTGCAAGCCAAATGAAAGGAAAAGGTCAAGATAACATTCCCTGAAGTGCCAACTCACCAAATCCAAGTTGAAGCCACCGAATCTGAGTGTGGGAAACAGTGAGGAGAAGGAGAGATCAACCCCAGGAGTTTACATCTGAGAAAAAAGGCTGATAGAAAGAAACTGAGTGTTTGACAACAGCAGTCATGCGAAGGGTTGAATGCAGCATTGTTCCCCGCAGGAAGAATCATAAAGAAAGGAGATTTTCCCTGAAGAATGTAATCTTTCCCATTTAATAGCTATTTTTATACGCAGAGATTTGTTCCTTATGAATATCTGCATAATGTTTTTACTTCGCTTTTTTTTTTTTTAAAGTTCAATTCCTTACGCTAACTTCAACTACTAGTTCATTATAAACTTGATTAGATATTGTTGAACTAGAAAAATTTTATGGTGGCTTCGATTGGTAATGGTATCTGGCCTTATAGAGAAAAATAAATTTAAACAAATAAAGCATTGTCCTGCAATCTAGAGTAGTAACTCTAACCTTTACAGACACATTCAGAATTGATAGCAAATGCTTTGTAATTTGAAGATTTTAGTTGTTTACATGTCTTCAAATTTGAATACTGAAATATTTCAATTTGGGAGTCCAAAAGCTGTATTTTTGAATGCATGTTTTGATGGTTGGGTATGCAGCACTACTTCCATTGCATTTATTAGAAAAAATTAGCAAACTGTTATTTAAATTCCTATTTTAGAAGTAAGAGAACTCTCGTAGTTACTTCTTGGATGATGTTAACATGAGTATTTTAGTTTGACTGGGTTATCATAGACCCTAGAAATAGTGCACAAGTATCTTTTTAATATTATATAATTGGGGTTTCAGTACCTCTTCATATATTTGTTACAGCCAGTTTCTCCATATTGACTGAATTAGAATGCACTTCTGTTTTGCCAAGATTCTGCTAATGCTGTTTCTCTGTGTTCCCATAAAAAAGGAAAGCCAAAATAGTTGTAGTCCCTAATGACTCTTCAGGAGAATAAAACTACATAATTTGGCTGAATTAACATTCGGTCTAAATAAGATTATTTCTGGATTAATTCCAATTATTTCATTGGATTAATTATAGATTAGTGTTGATATGACTAGCATCAGAATCTGGGCCACTGCCTTTTAAATACTACAAAAATAAATTGGAACAGATGATGTAACCCGTTTACGGTTTCATATCCATCTGGCTGGTAACGCCCAGAATAATGAAATCAATCAGGCTGCACACAGGATAATGCAATCAGTCCTAATGTAATGCAGGGAGATGTACTGAATGACTTATTAGCGTTTCCATCAAGTCTAAATTTTTATTTTAATTAGTCAACCAGTGTAAATAGTAAATGCACTTGGGACAAAATTAGTATTGCCTTACTCTGGCGTTTAGCAAATTCTAGAGGATGCTAAAGGGATAATATGTCTACAAATTCCTGTATTCTTTTCCATGTATTTTCTGTAGGATGTGTAGGTTTTCAATAACTCAAAGTCTGTGAAATGCTTTAGCTCTCTTTACTGTAGCAAAGGAGGGAGTTCTGAAGGCTGTCGAGTGATAAAGCTGTGCTCAAGCCAAGAGATGCCAACTTCAGGAAGTACAGGGGCAGAAAGTTAATTTTGTTTTTCCTTATTTTTAACATTCTTCATTGGTAGATAATGTTATTGCAGCTTGACCAACATGCTAGCTATGGATATAGGGGTCGGGACTGTCGCAGTAATCTCTATCTTCTTCCAACGGGTGAAACTGTATATTTCATCGCATCTGTAGTTGTGTTATTCAATGTTGAAGAGCAACTTCAGAGACATTACACTGGTCATAACGATGATGTGAAGTGGTAAGTCACCTAGTAACCCTTCTTTTTTCTTCATAAAACAGTACTTGGGAGGTAATGTTTTTCTTCTTTTAATACAGTTTTGAAAATTCAAGTGATTTAACTTCTAAGTCTTGCATAGGTTGGGTCCTTATGCCTGACAATGCATTTGCACAAATAAAGGTCTGACTGTAGTCATGGTAAGAATGTCAAATGTCTGTTATAGCTCTGTTCTAGTCAGCACATGAAGCAACTGCTGTCAGGCAGTTGTGATGGCACAGACCTGAGGATATCCAAATATGCCCCTAACAGAGCCTGAGTTTGCTTGCGAAACCTGCTTTGAAGTCTGTGCTGCTGTATGTGCTGTGCTGCATCATTTGGATGTGTCTATATGCAATTGCTGTATTGATGTTCTCCAAGTTACTGCTTGTTTCTCTAAGTTGCTAACAATTCCTGCTTGTATTTACTTGAGAAAATTTATTTTCCGTAGGTAGTATACTTTTTACATTTAGAATACTGAAAAGTAGAAATCTGACTTAATCTATAGATCTACTCATTTTCATTACTCTGTTTTTAGGATGATTTAACATTGCTTCTTTAGACTCTTCTCCTTCCCCTTTTTAAGTAGGTTTGAATTATTTATCTTCACCTGGGTCTGGGTGCCAGATACAGGTCCTTTAGACTCAATCTAACCAATGAAACAGTTTTAATCTCATCTGCGGTCTTCCTGGTAGTCTTCAGGGATGTCTACCTCATGGCGGATATCCTGTAAACTAGTCCTGAGCAGCCTGGTTTGTCTGCTGCCATGCAGGCATGCCAGCTTGGGCTTCGAAGTGATTTAGCTGTGTTCAAGCTTAGAGGATACTGGGTATCAGGAAATAGCAGTATCGTTAAATTGAAATCTAAATAAACATATGGTTTATCTTGACAGTACCTGTCTGCTTGCTGAGTGTAGCTGAAAAAGAGCACCCGGATTATCTGATGGGCCCTAATGTATGAAATGAGTTTGACATCCCATCTTTAGATTAAGCATTATGAAACACCTCTTGTCCCTGAAAGCCAAAAATAGACCTGATAACCCAATCTGGTTGCATTGTGAGCGTGTTTCACAAAATTGAATTCTTTGTATAATCTAGTTGTTTTACAGGGAGATTTTTAATATGGACCTGTTCCATCTCATTTCTGTCTTTGAAATTTTCTGACTCTCTAGATATTTCAAAGCTTTCAGGTTTATTGGAAAGAGGATACCTTTCTGCATTGTAAAGCTGAATGAATTATTGCTACAGTTCATTTTGCAGGGCACTTGGCCTCTAGAACTGTATGCAAAGCACCTGCAGTGAAAAAAAGAATTGAGAGAGGATTTAGGGCAAAACCAGACTGTACTCCAGGCTTTAATACAAATTTTAGGTTGCTTTTTCTTAGAGACATTAGTTAACATTGATCACAGTTTTTAAAATCTCAGTTTTAATTTTAGAATCAAAATTCCTAATTTCTGTATCCTGTTCTTATTTACTAAAGGACTTTTTTTACCTTTTGAAAAGTATTAGAGAGAAGTTGGTATCTCCCTATGAAAGTCACTGAATATCTGGTCAATGCAGTCTGAAGAGCAATGTTTGAGTGGATACATCTGTTTGCTCTGGAGGATTGTCGCTAGACAGCATTGACTGTACTGACCAGATCTCTGCAACCTCTGATTAGAGATAACTGAAGTTAGATAACTAGCTCAAATTGTAAACTCCTTACACACTGTGATCATTTAAATCTAGGTGAGATGAATCCCAGTATGAGTGAGACTGGGGCTTGTTTGATACATGCTTTGAGGTATTAAGATTTAAGCAGATTACTGCCTTGTTCATAAGGGAAGAAGAGTTTTTTGAATAAAAGAACATTAAAATTGTGCTGTCAGTTCTGGGTTTATATTTTTAAAATGTTTACATGTGTGCTATGTGCTTTATATGACTAAAATAGGGCTATTTATTACAAGCTCATATAAAAGTTTGATGAAATAGATAATAAATGGCTTTAAGTTTGGCCTCTCTTTTCTTTTTTAGCCTGGCTGTCCATCCTGATAGGATCACTATAGCAACGGGTCAAGTTGCAGGGACATCCAAGGATGGAAAAGTGAGTGACCCCTTTGCTGACATATGGTTGCTTATGTTTCATGAGAGTATGTTATTCAGAAGATACATGCTATCTTTTCGTGTTGCAGTTAAATTGGTCTTACATTTTAGGACTGAAAGCAAGCAAAACTTAATTTGAGAGTGCCCATTGCACATTATCAAAGTTACCCAGTTCCATTATCAAGATCAGTCAGTGGTTTCTGGTTCCATTACTTACGCAGACTGAAGGTAAATTTGGAGCTGGTCTCCAAAAGAGACATGGAAGGATGAGGTTGCAAAGGAGACCTGAGAGAGCAGATGGATGTGGGGAAAAGGAGGAGAAGCAGCAGAGATTAAATTGTACACTATGCAACTTCATTTCTGACCACAGCTAGCACAAAGTACAAATAAGAATGGCTTTGGGTTGTTTGCTGAAAAAAATAAATTCTTACTCTTGCCATCATCTAGGCAAGAATATTTTTCTCTCTATTATTACCTGTATTATCATAAAGCTTAGCTGTAGGCTAGGAATTTATTTGAACAGAGTAAGATGAACATTGTTAAGACAAGTGAGAAGGAATGGGTACAAGCAGAGGCAGGAAAAGCATGAGGAAAAAGTTACTCAGCAGAGTATGCAGCTGATGTCACAGCCAGCCTATTGCAAAATTTTTGGTAGATGTCAAAGAAGAATTTTAGGATAAAAATGCATTATCAATATGCTAACTACTTTAAGTAAATGAGGAAAACAAAATCCCAGTTATGCAATATAAGGTTTATGTAAAGATAACTTAGTTGAGTATCATAAACTATTAATTTTTATTGTGTGTTGGGGAAATCTCTGGTGTTTATTTTTTTAACTTCATAAATACAATTCCTTACCATTGTATTTGTGAAGTAAAATCTAAAGGTTTGATGTCTATGCTTGAGGGGCATGTGGTATATAGGTAAGCTTATATAAAAGCCATTTATATAACTGAGATACTGAGGTGCCCTTGACTTATTTATTTTTAAGGGCAATTTCACTACTAATTAGCAGGAAAAACCGATGGCTATTGCTTTTTTTTTTTTTTCTCCCCTGATATTGTAAGAAAGGACAGGGGGAAAAAAGGAAGTAAAACATGGCCTTTGCTGTTTTCCTGCAAAGGCTGAAGATACTGTGTTGAACTCCCAACTAGTTTTCAAATAAAACTTAAATCAGCAAGTGCTTCCTGGGGTTGCCCTCTAGTGGATCTGAGAAGCATTTCTGTCTCCACGAGGTTCAGCCCGCGTGGGGCTGGCTGTGTGGTGCGGGAGTCAAAGATAGAGGGGAGGGAGGGGGAACCACCATAGGGAATTCGTCTTGGGCCATTATGTGTGCCTTGAATTTTATGTGCAAAAAGAAAGTTAGTTCTGATACAGTTGTACAGTTCTTTTCTACGGCCATTCTTATGACTTTGAGATTAATTACATTTTTATAAATTCTTGATCTTTTTTTTTGCACTTGCTGTTTGATGTTGACCAGAATTATCTCAGCTGCTACAGTTTAAACTGATGATCTTGGACCTACCAGTAGGTCCCATGTTGCAAGGTCATCACCAGTTTTCATTTGCTGAAGGATGTCTCAGTGCCCATCTACAGCATATCTATGCTTACATGGGTGACTCTAGAGAAGTTCTGATAATTTTCATACTTTAAATTGTATTAAAATGTTTTTTGGATGCATTCTTATTTTTTTAAATCCTGATGGTTTTTTGCCACCATTGTTTCAGCTAGTATTTCTGTGTCTGTTTTATAGCAATTGCCACCACACGTGCGTGTCTGGGATTCTGTAACTCTGAATACACTGCATGTCATTGGAATGGGGTTTTTTGACCGAGCTGTCACTTGCATTGCTTTTTCTAAATCTGTAAGTAAAGTAAATGAATAGTCATATTAAGACTGTTTGCTGAATAAGTCTTTGAAGTCTTTCAGATTTAGCTTCCTTGACCAAAACAAACTTCCAAGCTGTCTTTTCTCTCAGTTTCCTCTTTAGAGGAGGAAAGCTTGCAACCCAGTTGTTTCCAACAGTTTATGTTAACAATATCTCAGCAGTCCCAGAGATCTACCTTATGTGTACCATAAAATGCAATTAATTTCTTCAAGGACAAGTAGTTGCCGAAGTACTTGTGTTCTTGAAATTTCAGTATCCTTACTTCTTCTCTTTAATCATCCCATTGCGTTTCTCTCTAAATAAGAAGGTTATTCTCTCTGCATCTTGTAACCCCCTACGCTGTGCCTAAGAATGACCAATGAAAGACCTTTACAATGGCCCGTACCGCTGATTTTGGATTTAAAAAATGGGAGCTCCAGTAGGAGAAGCAAAATCTTCTGCTTGAAAGCAACAAAGGCATATGGATAAGGGATTGTAAAGAATTAGAATCCTGTTGTTAGCCACTTGGCACCATCCTTTGAACGCTAGTCTATCAGGGAGGTAAAAAAAGATGACATAGGCAGCATTCAAGTCCCATATAAAAACATGAGTCTGTAACCTGACACGCACAAGTTTAGAAACCCTTCGTGTAGAACAGAATCCGTAAGCGGTGTACGTGGTGGTGTCTGGTTGTCTCAGCAGAACGGATCTGTTCCCCAAATAGGCTTACTCTGTGATAGCCCAAACTTTTGCAGTGGCTCAGCTCAAGAGGCAGCAACAAGCGGCTGTGCTATGGGTGGCAGAGGAAGGACTGTTTGTGTCAGCATGGCTGCCAAAGGAGTGCTTGTGTAACCACAGGCTCAGTCTGTTCCGGCAAGCTCATCTGCAGTCAAAGCTAACATAGCTGATGCCAGGAGCAACAGGATACAAAAATCATATTTGAATGGGTTGGAAAGCAATTAGACATTACGTGATGGTTTATTCCACTGTAGACACACAGCTAGGAATGAACACCAAAAATCGGAAAAAATGGTCCAAAAACTACCTTGCAGATAGCTACTGCTTGGAAAAAGATCTGATGATTGTACAGCAGTGACCATCACTAGTGAGACATATCTCAGTCAGCTTCCCTCAGCTCAGGTAGAGGCTCAGTTCCTCATCCAGTCTTTGAGTTCACACATCAGAAATACGGGTACCGACTGGAGAAGGTCTAGGAAATATGATGCATGAAGAAAGACTAAAGGAATTAGGGTCATTAAGATGAGAAAGACTGATAGAAGACATAACAATAAAAAGGACCTATTAGAAAAGAACATGTTCCTGTCAGGAATAAGTTGTTTTCTAATTTCTTACTATGTTCCCTGATTTGGATCCATTATTCCTATATGAAGAGTAAAATTGTTCCCCATGTCCATAGCAGATCAGTCAAGAAGTAATTGGTTTAAACTGCAAAGAAAGAAACTCAGTATAGGTATCAGGAAAAGCTTTCTTAGTAGTACAGATAATAACATGTAATGTGCCTTGGGAATTTCCATCACTGAATGTTTAAAGAGAGATGGATACCTACCTCATTCCTGAGAAAGTCTGTTTGTCTACAGTTTGCAAGAGTTCCTCTCCTAGATCCCTTTTTAGCCCTATTTTTCAATGATCCTATGAATTATTATATTTCATGGAGATCTATGGGATAACTAAAGATGTAACAGTTAAAGCGTAAATATTTCACTTTCATCTACACAGAAGTATATAATTATTTTGAACATGTATTTATATGTTTCTAATTTTGGTTGGGGGATGCATTAATATTTTCCATGTTTTGCCTCAGAATGGAGGAAGTAGCCTGTGCTCCGTGGATGACTCAAACGACCATGTGCTTTCTGTGTGGGACTGGCAGAAAGAAGAAAAGCTGGCAGATGTCAAGGTGTTTCAATAAGATATTTTGTACTACTTGCTTGTATGTAGATTTGGATTTCTTGTTGTAAAATATCTTTCTATATTTAACTTCTTGTGCCTTTTTAACATTTTCACTTTATAAAAGGCAAAGAACATGAAGAAAGGGAATATTTTCTCTCACTGTTGAGTTTGGTTTTTCTTTTTTTAAATTTTGCTATTGTAGGCATCCTAGAATTGATTAAAAAAGTCTAGGCAGCAATGATAGGAGCATGTGCAGAAAAGAAACATCTTTAACTAATCTTTTGTGTAGAACTTCTTATTATCTGACATAGTTTTGAAGGATAACTTTTGATACTAACTTATAAAAACGTAAAATCATTTGACTTTAAAGTATTCTACCAAAGTATTCCAGTCTATACTAATAAATGAACAGCTCAGACTTTTTCTTAAATCAGGAGTTGATCAGTTAATCTAACTAGGGAACCATTTCATATTGTTTTGTTTTCTTTGAATTTTAAATTTTGATACAATGTTTTTCTTTTTCCTTCCAAGTGCTCTAATGAGGCTGTATTTGCTGCAGATTTTCACCCTACTGACACAAATATAATAGTTACTTGTGGAAAATCACACCTTTATTTTTGGACACTAGAAGGGAATTCCCTTATTAAAAAGCAAGGATTATTTGAGGTAAAATAAAATTTTTCCTTAATTTTATGTTTATAATAATGGTACTGTCATACAGAAATAAGGGTTAGTAAGGGTTGAATAAATCAAAACAATTGACCATTATTAAAGTTGAAATTTTACAGAAGTTCAGGTCGCATTGGTGGTATGGCACTGAGAGCTTTTCCATGGGTTGTCACCATGATGAAGTTTTGAAATGCAATTACCATTCTGTTCCTTGCATTCCTTTTCCTATATTCTTTACACTGCCACCCCATCAAAATAAAATTACCTTAAAGCTCTCTGTGTTTACCTCAGGTTAAAAAAATAGACAGTGTGTTTTATGCTGGGGTTTTTTTATTTTGTCAGAGGAAAGACTTGGAAAACCCCATAAATTATGTGAATGTGATTATTCTTCCCTTTTCCTCTGTTCTGCTCAGATATATACACAAATATAATTCAAATACAGATTGAGCTGGCCACTATTTGGTAAATATAATTTTCATTTCAAGGTCTTAATTTGGTTGTGTTCTTAAATATAGACTAAGCGCTACAGCAGGTGCATGCAATGTTTGCAGTGACTGCAGATAACTCCAATAGGGCCTAGTTAACTGCTTGTGGAGTCGTGGCTCACAAGTATAGTCAAAACAACTATTTTGCAATGTCAATTTATTATACTGTGTGTGAAATAAGGAGAAGATGCTGAGATAATGCATTTAAATTTTGTCACATTTTATTTTTCATTCATTTTTAACTTCTAAGCTACTTGGGCAGATTTCTGCCTCTGTTATTCTCGATGGTTGCAGATGGAAAAGTGTGGTGGCCCTAGCTGAGAACATTCTTAGTTTGAAGGAGAAAGAGGCCATAGTCAACAAACATCGTAAATTTGGAAGCTTTTGTTTGTTTGTTGGAAGCTACTAGCTAGTGAATTTTTTTGTCCCCTTATATATTTCACTGTTTTGTTGCTGTCAGTATTTTAAATGCAGGGTCTCGAAGCAACGTTTCCATTATTGAACCTTAGGATTCTTTCAAGAGATGATTTCTTAATTCTTACACTGCAGCAAAACTCTCTAGTAATATTTTTCTCCTAGAAACTTTGGAGTTAAAAATTGCAGTAGTAAAGCTTGTTTGCATCTTTGGCCATTTCTAAATACTTAAAGCCTTTGGAATTATGCAGGAGTTGGGGAATTTGGTTTATCTCAGAGCGTTCCTGGTCTTGTGCTAAAAGTTGGCAGGCCTTCTCACTCGCCTTATCCGCAACTTGTAATTAAAGGGTGCAGGATTGGGCCACCAACCTCAGCTGATGCATCTTTTGCCCTTGCACAGATTAACTGTTTAGACTGTAGGAATGTGTTTAACTCCTGTGTAGACATTTAAGCAATAATAGAACTGTATAAGGCTAAACTAAATTATTCAAATGCGTACAGTTAAAATGAATGGGTTGTGTGTTGCTGTGAGTGTATATTTTTCGTAACCATGCAGAAACAAGAGAAGCCAAAGTTTGTCCTGTGTGTGACCTTTTCTGAAAATGGTGATACTATTACAGGAGACTCAAGCGGAAATATTTTGGTTTGGGGGAAAGGTAAGACAAGATTGAAGTTAATAGTGAAATTTTAATATAAAATACTCTTGAATTTTTACATGAGTGTAGCCTCATTTTAAGAAGAATAAGTTCTGTTTATTTTGAGTTCTTTGCCAAGACCAATCCAGCAGATTAAGTCTGGAATCTCCTTTATGAGCGCCTGAAAAACATATACTTGACTGCTAGAGCACAAAATTCTATAGAATGTGTTCCCTATGGTCAAATGTTGAATCATAGAGCTATGCCAGTACGTATGGCTTTTACTGACGTAAGGAATGGCAGGAAAAGTTCTTTTCCTTAATCAATGTGATAGTAAGAAACACTGTTAATGTAATTGATGATCTCCAGTCTCCTGTACTGTCACTCTGTAGTGTTTGCAAAAATTATGCCGCTTGACATAGACTTTTAAAAAGACAACAAATAGCTTTATTTGTCTTCCTAGGAAGTCAAGCTAAAATATATACAGATCTAATTGAATTCCTCAGCTTTATTTCAAAAGGACAGATGGATAGGACAAACTTCTTAAAAAGCATTTTCTAGAAAGAAATTTTTTTTTTTTTCTTTGGCAGCAGAAGGCAGTGCCTGCCGGAAGGCAAACAGCAGCAACATCCTAAACGTTTACTTAGTGCATGAGATGCCATGCATAGGAATAAGGAGAATCCCCTAAAGGAGGCCTTATTAGTAAAGGAAGAAGGGATATGGATGACAGCTGCTTCTTATTTACTCAGTGCCTTCTCCCAAGATACTCAAAGGATATAAGACCGGGGAAGCAACATGGTGAATCAGTTACACAGATGAGCCTTACTGAGCTGGTTTTGTAGACTTATTTTCATGCAAGGACCATCAGCCAATTATCTCTTTGTGCTTTTGACCAATACACTACTGTTGAGTAAAGGGGTGGATATGGTGTTCATAACTCAGCTCCTCTTTTATTTTTCTTTTCTTTTTCCTATGATAGTTTAAAGCAAGACGCTTGAACATTTTCCTTCCAATCGGAGTTTAGAAATTGCATAGTCCCATCTCCTCCCTGTTCTCGGTTGTTATTTTGGCCTGCCAACAGAGAAGGGAGTGCCAGCCGCTGGCACGGCAGGGTCAGTGCGGTGCTCAGGGGCCGGTTTGCCTTCGTGCCAGTAGACTGATTTCTGCCTTGACTGCAAGCAGCCTCTTCTACCCTTTCTCCCAGGAATGAAAGGGAGTTCTTTGTGTGCTGCAAGATCTCCTCACCTCTGCCAGTTCTTTTGGGATGGACAAAAATGTTGTTATTGTTTTTCTATCTTAGTACAGCGTACTTTCTGTGTCTTTGACTCATGTCGTGGTTTAACCTGGCAGGCAGCCAAATACCACGCAGCCGCTCACTCACTCCCCCCCCCGCAGTGGGACGGGGAGAGAATCGGAAGGGTGAGAGTGAGAAAAACTCGTGAGTTGAGATAAAGACAGTTTAATAAAACAGAAAAGGGAGAATAATAATGATAATGATAAAATATGCAAAATAAGTGATGCACAATGCAATTGCTCACCACCCGCGCTGACCGATAACCAGGTAGCGATCGGTACTTCCTGGATCACGCCTACCATTCATATACTGAGCATGACGTCACATGGTATGGAATACCCCATTAGCCAGCTGAGCTGGCTGTCCTGATGATGTTCCCTCCCATCTTGTGTACCTAGCTCAGTCAGTAGGCATGGGAGCTGTCCTTGGACTAGGAGGGTACTTAGCAACAACTGAAAACATCAGTGTGTTATCAACATTCTCCTCATACTAAATCCAAAACACAGCACTAGCAAGAAATTTAACCCTATCCCAGCCAAAACCAGGACAACTCAGAGCTCTATGTTCAAGCGAGGGCTGCTTCCACCAGTTTGGAATACCCTTAGCAAAAACCTCTCTTAATAGAAATCACTTGTAACTGACACATTATATCCATAGATGTGGATAGAAGCAAATGGGATTTATAAAGGAAAAAGCAGTTGTTTCTTCCGAACTTGCATCAGCCCCTTGCTTGTGTTAAAGATAAAGTTAGCCAAGCTTTAATGCAAGGTGCACATTTCGGTAATAGAATCACTAGTAATTGTTTCTTTATATTTCATGATAGTAATGGTTCATCAAAGTAGAGATCTTCAATCTAATGTAGTGAGTTTGAAGGTGTTTTGAGACTAAGAAGGTACTTGAAGAAACCAAGTGCAGGCCCTTTTGGGAGTGATTCAGCACCTTCTGCCAGGCGAGCAAAGACCACTAGCTTGGTCAGATTTTGGTGCAAGTTAGGTGTCTGGAGGCTGTGGAATATCCTTGCAGGGTAACAAGGTTATGGTTTCTTTGTTGATAAGGTGCAATAGTCAAACCTAGCTACTGCAGGTCAAATGTGATGTCAAACAGTTTAGCTTAAACACCCATGAAAGATTTAAATGAACCCATTTTACTTTGTGTTTGAACTAGACTAAGTGAATATGTATACTTTCCATTTTTGAAATGGGGGAAAATGTTCTTAAAATGTACTAATTCAGTCTCTTTCTGGTGCAACACTCAATTCCCATCATTGTTTAGATATAATCCTTGACAGGTGGTAGTAGAGAAATGGAGAAAAAAAACAACTGGGGAAAAAGGAGCTAGTAAGCTTTCCATAGTAATATCTTTTCTTCATCTGTCCAGGTACCAATAGAATAAGCCACGCAGTTCAAGGGGCACATGAAGGTGGAATATTTGCGCTGTGTATGCTGCGAGACGGCACATTAGTATCAGGAGGTGGAAAAGACCGAAAGCTGATATCTTGGAATGGAAATTACCAAAAACTTCACAAAACTGAGGTGATATCACCTGTCTTGAAATTACTCTGGTACTCAAAATGAAATTTTAGCTGTCTTCTGACCAGAGCTTTTTAAATAAATATTTTTCTTACGGATGTGTATTCTGTGGAAAAGCAAATCAATGGTAAAATGAAATATTATTTGAGTCATCAGGTCATTCCTGTGATAGCCTATTCATTAACGTAATATTTCCTTTTTAAGATCTATAGTAATTGGAAGACAAATCTTGTGTTCATACTTTTTCATATTATTTCTTCCTTTCTTTACAATTAATAACGTGAGGTCATTTTTCATTTCAGAGTATTACAATATTAAAATGTTTTCATACATCTCTCTTTTTTCCAAAATTATGTGAGGATTTTTGGGGGGTTTTAGTACTTACATTTTTTCGCTAATTTCTTGGTTAGTGTTGTTTTTTATTTAAAAAAGAAATTCCAAAAATAAATTCGGTTGCTATGTAGGAACTTAGAAGATTAAAGCAGAATTTCTTTGGACAGAACGACATGACTGTTTACATACTGAGTGTAAGAGAACAATCAGCATAAAACTCTGAGGAAGGATTTCAACTCTACTATATATTATTAAATGTTGCAAATATATACATACAACAAATGTTGCAACTGGAATGGCATGTTTGTTTTGGTAATTCAGTTTTTAACACAGCACAAGGTACATGCTTGTTGTGCTGTTTCTAACTGTGGCATCCTTCTTTTTCTCGTATTTGTTCATACAGTGGTATTCCTTGTTATTTTAAATTTCACATCTTCTCTTGAACTTTATATTGGAGATTTGCACTGACTCTTTCAGAACCTAGGCTGCAATTAAAGAAGCATAGGTTGCAAGAAAGTACTAGTGATACAAAGCCTGACACCATTTCTGAGTAGAAATGCTTAGTCTGCTATCACAGCTGCAATTAAGTTATGATTGAGTTAACATAGCATGAAGGAACCTTTTCTGTTTGTTGAAATACTTGGTTTATCAGTAGAAACGGAGTGTTCTGTAGATAAGGGTGTCTTTTCTTATAGTGTTATAAAGACAGTTACTGACCTGATGCAAGTTGTTACAAACTTTTCAAAGTCAGGCATGTATATTCATCCATTTCATTTCTTCTCTGTGCAACATTTATTAAAATGCGTTTGCTAGGCCATATGTCTTGAAAAATAGCAACACTTGCCAAATTGTCTGATTTATCTATCTGTTTGTCTGTTATGACCACAGATTCCAGAGCAGTTTGGTCCAGTAAGAACAGTAGCAGAGGGAAAAGGGGACGTTGTATTAATAGGAACCACTAGAAACTTTGTCCTACAGGGCACGCTATCAGGAGATTTTTTCCCTATTACCCAGGTAAGCTGTTGCCTTACAAGAACATTTCTAAGCGTGTAATAGCAGTAAAGGTATTGCTTAAAGTTAAGTTCCATAAATATGCATCTATTTGATTTATTATTACAGTACTTTTGGCAAAAAATAACATTATAAATATGCATCCATCTAAGCCAACGTATTTTTGTAATGCTTTAATATACAGTTTGGTCATTTTAATCCTGTTTAAATATGTTTAGTTTTGATGGTACTATCCTTCTTGTCAAGAAACATTTCTGCTTGTGTAGGGTCACACTGATGAGCTTTGGGGACTTGCAGTCCATTCCTCTAAACCTCAGTTCTTCACTTGTGGACATGACAAACACATTACCCTCTGGGATGCTACCACTCATCGTCCTATCTGGAACAAGATTATAGAGGTATAAATTTATTAAACACAACTCTACTCCTCTTATAGAACTTCTCAAGTAATACGGGTTTTTCGTAAGATTATTGATTAAAAATATCTTAAAGTATTAACTTGAGGAAAAAAGTAAGTGTTATAAAATTTGTCTTTCTGCAGATGGACGTAAAACTCTTAAAAACAAGAATTTTAAACCCTAGATTATATGGATCTATATGCTGTATCATATAGAAGTGTACAGTGCTGTTTACATTTATTTTTTTTTACTAGGAAGAGAACCACAAATATAAAGCTAGGAAATATTTACCATTTAGAAGTAGTTCTGATCAGGATTACTACTATTATCCTGAGCATGATAGTCAGAATTCAGAAGGAAATTTTTTGTGACATTTTTTGCCTTCTTCATTTATTCTGTATGATTTATTAGTATTTTTATACATTCTGTTCACAAATAAACAAATGTTTCAGAATTTCACTTCTTATCTCTGGTCTGAAACTTGGTGTTTAGGTACTGAAGGAATACTTAGTGGAGGCTCAATTTTATACTGTACTTAGGCACTCAGTTGTGCATCTGCAGACTCTGAATGGCTTTGTGGTAACGTGATCTTGATTACTACATGCATCACTAGGAACTGATTTTTTAGCGTACATTTTTTGACACCTGATCACTTTTCTAAATACTTACCCATAAAAAGACATTGGCTTATCTCCTAGAGAAGCGGTGATACTTTTATCTCTTTATTTTGAGATGCCACTATCACATTTTTTTCAGTCTTCTCTCTACATTTTTTTTAATAGGTGTGAGAGTATGCTTTTTTGGAGATACATGTACTGATCACAATAAAGAAGTTACTTCTCAGTCTTTCTTACGTGTTCTCTGTACAGTGGAAAAGTTCAAAAATTACTTCAGGAAAAAGAAAACAAGACCTGGTGTATATATATATATCCAAGACACAGGTTTGCAGATCAAATTGTAGCCAGTAACTTACAGATGACCCTCATATTGCTGACAAAAGTGCTTTCTGTGTGATATAGTAAACAATCCTTTATTAGTTTACATGAAGTTTTTAAAAACTTAATTATGCACCTTTTTTTCATAAAAAGATTGTTCATTTTCAGGCCTACACAACACTTTAACTTAAACCTAGTATTGATAACACTTATTGAATACAATGCATCTGCAATAATTGTATGCTGTGGCATCAGGCTGAAGCAGTCTTAACAGAATAGCATTTGCTGAACTGTCTCGTAGTATTCTGCTCCAGTTGTATGCACTTGTTAAATCATGCTTGCTTGGTGAATGTAGAAATTGGAATTTATTCTGTCTAACCAAGGTCATATGTTCTAAGATCCATATTTTTGTTGACATGGGAAGCTTCTAAATTAATTGGAAAGACCAAATCATCAGTTACTGCCCCAGAGATGGAGCTGTATTTTCACAGTTCAGTGCCTAGGTTATAAAGACAGATTGGCCTGTAGTATAAGAACTTAAAAGAAAGGAAAATAAAAGTAGTTCTTTTAATGTAAAAAAAAAATGTAAATCAATAATACTAAGAGTTTGGCCTTAGAGACAGGCAGATAATTGCATTTTCCTACCTCTTGATCGTTTTAGGGTTTAAGATATGTTAATATGATTTGGATTTAAAAATAAGCTATCTCCCCGTCAGTATTTAGGAATACTGTAGTTGAGCCTTAGGGCAATGGTCAAATCTTGAGACACACCAAAATCTTAACGTGCTTGAAAGTCTCTTGGTACTGTTACCAAGATGTCAAATGCAAGATGAAATAAATACCAGCATACTTAGGCTACAAACTTCAGTGATAAAACGTATTTTTAAAAAGCAATGAGCAGTTATAAGCCAAATTTTCCAGGATCTGTCTTGGTAGACTCTCAAGATAAACCAATGCCTTTTTTTGTTTTGAAATACAGCAATAGCAGTGTACTGTATTGTACTGTATGGAATATGAACACATTCAATTGCAGCAATTCTCTCACATGCAATTCAGAGTGACTCGAACAATGACACGACTGGAAACATTTACATAGACCTTTCTGCTCTTTATCATGTTTTTTTTTGTGGTAACTTAATTTGATTATTTAGAAATGGTGCATGACTGGTTTTGTGCAAGTCTTGTTTATAAATATCCTGAAGTGGAAAGTAAAATCATTGGTACCATTTTTTATGCTTTCCTAATAAATTTCTTTTTTGTTGGAAAAAAATCATCATGTAATTCAATTGCAGGTACTAATGTGGTCCTTTACTCTGCTCAGTGTAAAGGTGTAGTTTTTGTATACTTGCATACACTTTCAAAAACGCTGGGAGAATAAGAAGTTAGTACTTCTGTTTATATTTCTCATTACAGGAACGATATACTGAGGAGAGCCTATAGTCATGAAGAGAATTGCAAAATTTGGCACTTTGCTCTCTTGCAGTCTAAAGAAAAGAGCATTTAGAAGTTTGGGTTGATAGTGAAACATCATTAGTGGAGATAAGTACAATATGGGGAACAGGAACAAGTCTATTAATCAGATAAGCTGCTATCTCAGAAATAAAGCTACTTAAGTAATCATCAACTCAAAAAAGGACATTGTTTCCACTGTTTTATCCTTTGTGTCCTCTGAAAAACAGAACTGGAGTTTAGCTGATTATGACTTTACAGTGAGCTTCTATTAATATTTAGCTGTGGTTTTGCAAATATAAGACACTCTCTAAGAAACTGTTGTTATTGAAACGTTTAAGAAACTGCTTTATTTACCTTGATTCTTTTGAAAAGATTGATGGCAACAGCAGTAGGACTGTTAAACTAGACTTAGATTTATTTATTTTCCCCTCCAAGTACACACTGCTTCATTAAGACAAGATTTCTATTATCAGTCTTGACAATAATCTCCTTATTAACCACTTGAAATGTTTGAGACTGTTTCATAAATCAGTGACTGATTATCTAGAGTAAATAAATCATTTCATGTTAACCTATTTTTGTCATAGTGATCTATGTAAAAGCTTTTTAATATAGTTATGAGTACAAGTTACTGCTCAGAAAATTCACTGTTTGAACCTCTGGTTTATTCAAGAGAATATTTTAGCATTTACTATGAAATGATACTTCAAAAAAATTAGCAAATTTTCCTTTCTGGACTACTGTATTGGTTTAGAACATGCGTATAGAAATCCTGAATCTCAACAATTCTCTGAAATTTCTTTAGAGTTAGTAACGTCTTTGAAATTAGTCACTTGTTTAAAATTAATGAGAATATCCCTTACACCTAGCCTCTAGGGCTAGTAATTACAAATTGCTAAAAATGTGAACAGGTTTACTAAAATGGCTACAATGTGATGCTATTTTAGAATATAGAAAATCAAGGACATAAGCATTTCTGTGAGATATGTTACTGGATTTTTTTTTTTGCTTACATTTTAAAATTATTTTTGGCAGGTATCAGAAAAAATAAGCTATTTATTTTGGGACTCTTTGCTATAACCTGAAGAGTTCTGGAGCTCGTTCTTTGTAAAGGAACAAGTATTAGAAAGAAAATGCTTACCTTGTTTTTTAGGCTTATGTTTAAATTGCAAGAAAAACACTGCAATTCTACCTGTCTCCATAATCATACACTATACAAAGTAAAATGTTTTAAAATTGCATATCAGAATAAGAAACCCAGTTTATGCCCTTAATCTCCCACTAAGCTGCAACTGGCAGGTGCTGAAAAAGGTCTTGGTGTGTGTAGACGTTAGGCTTTACCCCTCCGCGCAAAGTGATACGTACCTTTGTTGGATAAGGTACTTGCTTGTCCTTTAGACAGTAGGTAAACTGCAGCTTTGATACTTCATTCTTTGGTCAGCTCTAATTTAATAAGTTATTTTTATCTCTTGTTTGTGATTTGTTGAGAAGCTGCCTTTGCCAATGTTATTGTTATGAAGTCACTTGCCAAGTTATTTTTAGATGGTGAAGAAAAGAAAACAGTGGCCTTGTATAGAGGGGAAAAAAAAATCTATTGGGTAATATTCCAATCAGTTAAAAATGCTTTTTTTCCCTCAAGTTTGTATTTTAAAAAAAAACCCAAAATCAACAAGAGAGATTTACTCTGTTCCTGAGGCAGATAATTAAACTGTGTTTTTGTTATACCTTGGACTGGTAAAAAAGTGTGCTCCCTTCTGAAACATTTTAGGATCCAGCACAGTCTTCAGGTTTTCATCCTTCAGCATCTGTTGTTGCAGTAGGGACGCTGACCGGAAGGTAAGATGCGCAGAGTTACACCTTGGGCACCATCAGACACTACATGATTTTTCCAGCTCACGTCCAAGTTCATGTTCTTGTTTTGCAGATGTATGCATGACATATATTCATCCCCCATTGATCCCTATGGAATTTCAGAGTGAAATTTATTTGTATTGCCTTAGTGCCCAGAAACCCTAGTCTTGGACCAGTACCCCATGTTTGCTGAGTGTTGCATGAACACAGACGAAGAGATGGTTTCTGCCCTGGGAGAGCGGCAAGCTACGATCAGTGGGAGGAGGTGGATTTGGACAGGGCAGGAAGTCTAGGTTAGCAGTGAGACCGTGTGTGGGAAGTGCTGTCACCATAGCAGTGACCTAAATGTTAAATCTTTGTGTGCATCCTGGCAAAGGAGAGGCTAAAGGAGGAGTTTGCGATAATGAGTTAACTTTGCAGATGCGTACGGAGACCTTCTCTGAGGCCTGTAGAGCAGCGTAGAGGAAATCACATAGAAAAAAGTTGTTCGTTGGAAAATTTAGCAAGTAGTTTATTATCTCTAATGCAGTGACAACCAGAGGCTTTAACAAAAATTTGGCAAATGTTCCACTGTGCTAGACATAGTGTAAAAATGCATATTAAGAGACTCGTTCTGCCTGAAGAGCATAAGGCATAAACAAGACAGACAAAACCAGGGTGAAAAGTAGTATCTCCATTTTACAGGGCAGACTGAGCCCTTGGTCAAATAGAGGGTCAACAGCAGACCCTGGGTTTAGCCTTGGTTGCCTGTCACAGGAGGAAGGAGTGCCTTCGCCATGACTTCATCCTCTCCTTTAATGTCACTTGAGGGTAGACTTTGCTGTTTGTGTTGAAAACAGTTCCACTTAACTGAGAACATATAGAATGCTTATAGGTTATGAGCCAAGATTATTTAGGGTTGTCTATCAATCCTAAATAAAGGATTTACTTTAGTTACTAAATTTACTTTATTTATTAAATAAAGTAAATCAAAAGGAGAAGCTTTGAGAGGAATCTTTACTTTGTCTTTAATGATTTGATGCAAATATTGAAATGCAAATTTTATCTTTGTTCCTTCTACGTGTTTCCACAAATTAAATTTAGGTTCGTTAAAATTAATTATTAAATTAAATTTAT